GCCCAGCTGAATTTTCTCAGTGAGAGCTTTTTCACCATCCTGCTTTCTTGAAACAAACACTAGGATTCAGCTCAGAAGACTAGCTATAGTATTTCATATAAGCCCTGAGTCAGATTGTCTGTAGTCACCATCTTTGTTAACAAAACTGGTTTCTGCTGCAGCAGGCATATACAAGTCAGCAGTGCAAAAGTAGCACGAGATACCTGAAACATGAGAGATGTTTTCCACAGCAGATGAAATCTCTTTGTAATAATGACTAAGCTAGTTGCTATGGGTCATACAAGTCATGTAGGAACATCTAGGAAGAACAGAAGAGCTGAATTTGTAGTCTTCCTTTTTCATCTGATTGCAAGTGATTTACATTAATATTACAACTTTCAATCAAACAGAATTCAAAGACATTACAAACCTTCCCTACCTGATTGCATGACTAGCAGAAAATTGCTTCATTTATCATGCAAGAGTTGCTGTAAAAACTGTGAAAGATGGTGGAATATGATACTTTAAGACAGCAAGTAAAGAACACTGATTACAGTTGAAACTGCAGGGGTGATGCTGCGATACAGAACTAAATTAACCTAGTTGGATTTTGGCCAGGACATTGGGATTCACACCTTAGACTCTGCATGGGACTTTTAATTATTACAAGTGGTTAGAAAAATTTGCTCATCCAAGAAACAGAATGTGCAATAGCCCCATTCCCTTCCTTCATCCCACAGCCAGGGAGGTTGATTGCTTGCTGGCCAAGGGAAAGCAAGTGGATCCCCATAATTTACACAATACCATTTTTTCCTGGAGATCTTCCATGCTGTAGTGTTTATCTTTGCCTTACTTACTTTCTTTACTGTTGGAGTTTTTTGTTACTATGATTACAATAGCTACTGAGCCTTCACTTATTAACAGAAACTGTGCTCTATCCATGCGAATCAACTGTGTCACTCAGGACAGAGGGAAAAAATCAGGATTGTTAAGATTTTTACCTATATTTTACTGCAGCATCAGTTTCAATTGTTAGCAGTGTGTATTGTCACACATATGGGGGATTTATCCATTGCTGCTACTGGACAACAAGGAATAGGCCTCCTCACAACACTTCCTCAAAACAGGTTCAAGGTGGGAGTAAACCTGGGAAAAATTCAGAGTGGTAAGTGGAACCATAGGGCCATAGTGCTAACATTCAGGCTGCTAAACAAACTCTGTCTTTACCCCTTTTTTCCATTGCTTATAAGTCACTGAAGTTTACCAGCTGAAGCTGAAATTTCCCAGGTTTGGTCTCTTACTCAAAGGTGAAGTAGGTTTGTCTTCTTTTTTTGGAGATGTTTTTTCTCCACTAAG